CCCACTAGTAATCCCCCCCCCCCAATGCCCCCATGAGAAATCCCCCCCACCCAATGACCCCACTAGTAATACCCACCACCCAATGACCCCACTAGTAATACCCACCACCCAATGACCCCACTAGTAATACCCACCATCCAATCACACTTTGAAAAATACACACCACCCAATGACACTGAGTAATACCCATCATCCAATCACGCTATGAGTTATACCCTCCATCCAATAACACTATGGGGTTCACACAGCACTAGTAGATTACCCCGATGAGTACGGGAAACTCTTGGGTGGGTTAATATTAGGAACTCTGTATGCAGAATACAAGACCTTTTCAATGTTTCAGCACCAAAAAATTGTCACCAGATGCCCCGCCCCCCAAGCCTATCATGTGATATCACTTACCATAATGGTGTCGTCTTCAGGGAGGGATCGGGGGGTGTAGCAGAACTGTGCAAAATTCGGATCGATCTGGGAGACCAGCTGAATCCCTTTGCTCTGTAACTTATTTGTTTCCTCCTCGCACACCTGATAACGTACGACACGAGGAAGGTCAGTGGTGAGCATCTCATATCAAAGAGTATTAATCCAGGCAACTGATCAGCCACCAATCAGAATTCAGCTCTCACACCAATCTGACTGATGTCTGTGCCCATTGGCCATCATAGTCATGCACATCGTGCTGGATAGTGAGAGTTGTACTCCGAAAAATGTAACTACTCTATACGGGGCAGCCCAAGATCCTGCAAAGCCAACCATACGTAGGAGGCAGGGCTTCGACCCCCGCTGACCTCAGAGCTCTGATTGGCCCCTGCCCCTCAAATCTGTTTAATCGTCCGGCTCCGCTATCAGCCAATTGACACGCCCCATTGGTCTATAGCTTGCCGCTGTTACCTAGATCATGTGACAGGTTCACTTTAATGACCCCCCCCCCCCCCCATTCCCATCTCTCTCAGTACAGCTTTCCTTTACAATTTCGATGTTGCAGTGAAATTTTAGGGCCCTTTAAGTCAGAAGACGGATCCCCGAGGCCGACTGACTCAACAGGAAGTCAAGTGGAGGGCAGATATTCAATAAAACGGCGAATCTGCCTCCAGCTGGGCGCGGTAACGGCGCGGCGGTCCCTCTAACTGGAAATGAAGCAGGTTCAGTGCTTGTTACTGAGGCCCCCGGGATAAAGTTATGAGTCACCCCGGGGAACATCTTGGACGTTCTGGAGAGGAACGGATGGTGATGACGATACTAAGAGGAGTGTTGTCACTGTGTCCGGTGACTGCTGACTATGCGGTATCAATGGAGGCCAATATCGAGTAGAAGGAACTACATAGGGCTCCTCCCTCCACCCGATAACGGGCCCTAAGAGTCTCTATTCAGTATAATGGAGGAGCATGAAGACAGATGTTCAAAGAAACAATCCTTCTATTATTTCATATTAATCCAACACGTTTCAGGGGCCAAATGCACCCGTTTCCTCAGGACCAATCAAGCCAAGATACGCAGATCAGTCAGGTCAGTCCACGCACGTGTTCTGTAACATTCATGTCAATCTATTTATTAGTAGATAATGAGAATCAGACACATTTTGTATTCATTACAACCATAGCTCGCTCCTCCTGCCACGTCCATGAGGCGCACCCATGCTCCAGACCCGGGTGCACGGCTACTGTTATGTGACAGTTGTGTTAGGACTTCAGTCCTCAGCGTGCAATGCACATTGGCAGAAGTGCACGTGTGTGATAGTGGCGACAGGACTTCAGCTCTCAGCGTGCAATGCACATTGGCAGAAGTGCACATGTGTGATAGGGGCGACAGGACTTCAGCTCTCAGCGTGCAATGCACATTGGCAGAAGTGCACATGTGTGATAGGGGCGACAGGACTTCAGTCCTCAGCATGCAATGCACATTGGCAGAAGTGCACATGTGTGATAGTGGTGATAAGACTTCAGTCCTCACCATGCAATGCACATTGGCAGAAGTGCACATGTGTGATAGTGGTGATAAGACTTCAGGCCTCAGCATGCAATGCACATTGGCAGAAGTGCACATGTGTGATAGCGGCGACAGGACTTCAGCCCTCAGCATGCAATGCACATTGGCAGAAGTGCACATGTGTGATAGTGGTGATAAGACTTCAGTCCTCACCATGCAATGCACATTGGCAGAAGTGCACATGTGTGATAGTGGTGATAAGACTTCAGTCCTCAGCATGCAATGCACATTGGCAGAAGTGCACATGTGTGATAGCGGCGACAGGACTTCAGTCCTCAGCATGCAATGCACATTGGCAGAAGTGCACATGTGTGATAGTGGTGATAAGACTTCAGTCCTCAGCATGCAATGCACATTGGCAGAAGTGCACATGTGGCGACAGGACTTCAGTCCTCACCATGCAATGCACATTGGCAGAAGTGCACATGTGTGATAGTGGCGATAGGACTTCAGTCCTCAGCATGCAATGCGCATTGGCAGAAGTGCACATGTGTGATAGCGGCGACAGGACTTCAGTCCTCACCATGCAATGCACATTGGCAGAAGTGCACATGTGTGATAGTGGTGATAAGACTTCAGTCCTCAGCATGCAATGCACATTGGCAGAAGTGCACATGTGGCGACAGGACTTCAGTCCTCACCATGCAATGCACATTGGCAGAAGTGCACATGTGTGATAGTGGCGATGGCACTTCAGTCCTCAGCATGCAATGCGCATTGGAAGAAGTGCACATGTGTGATAGCGGCGACAGGACTTCAGTCCTCACCATGCAATGCACATTGGCAGAAGTGCACATGTGTGATAGCGGCGACAGGACTTCAGTCCTCACCATGCAATGCACATTGGCAGAAGTGCACATGTGTGGTAGTGGTGACAGGACTTCAGTCCTCAGCATGCAATGCACATTGGCAGAAGTGCACATGTGTGATAGTGGTGATAAGACTTCAGTCCTCACCATGCAATGCACATTGGCAGAAGTGCACATGTGTGATAGTGGCGACAGGACTTCAGTCCTCACCATGCAATGCACATTGGCAGAAGTGCACATGTGTGGTAGTGGCGACAGGACTTCAGTCCTCAGCGTGCAATGCGCATTGGCAGAAGTGCACATGTGTGATAGCGGCGACAGGACTTCAGTCCTCAGCATGCAATGCACATTGGTAGAAGTGCACATGTGTGATAGCGGCGATAAGACTTCAGCCCTCAGCATGCAATGCACATTGGCAGAAGTGCACATGTGTGACAGGAGTGGAAGGAGACTGCGCTCTAGACCGCCCCAATGTGCACCGGAAGTCGGGCCTGCACAGGCACGCACAATTGTAGTGTGATGTGGGAACGAGCGCCCCCCCCGGGTGACAACGCTGCTCCTAATGATGATCGGGTGCCACCCAGCAACAGGAAGAGGGATTAGGCCTTCTGTACATGGAGGGGGTGGTATTGCTGCAGGAACCCCCACATACAGTGTGCAGGAGACATCATGGCACACAACAATTTCTTGAATGAAAACAAAAGAATTTGCAACACTTTAAGGGGCCCAATGCGCCCCACATATCAGAGCTATGAGAAGGCTGATACAAGTGCAGTCATTCCAGTTTGGTTTGCAGATCGAATATATGTTTTATCATTGCATCTCCCTTCATATAGCCCTGAGGAAGGGAGTGCATTCGACCCCCTGAAATGTGTTGGATCATTCTGTAACATTATCAACCGATAAAGAGATTTACATTAGTAGATAATACTACAGAATAAGCCAACATGTCTTACGGGCCAAAATATTCCTCCCCCTCATGGCTGTAAGAAGGGAGATACAATGTTATAAACACTCAGTCCACTTCCATACACTGTATATCACCCCCCTGGGTCCTAATCACAGGGGGGGCGCTGATCTCCACATTGAAATGTTGCCATTTTGCTTCTATTTCTTTCTTTTTGTTAGTATTTAAAGGAGAACTATGAGGGGGGGAGGGGGGTGCTTTTCACTCACCTCATAGTTCTAGCCGACCTGTGACAATGGGACTGTCACAGGTCGGCTCAGCAGATCGGGAACACATACCGTTCGCTCACCTCTCGATCCTGTCACGGCTCTCTGCTGTGACAGGGGAGGGGCTGGATTCCCCTCTCCCCGCTCCGATCCGCCAGCGCTGACTGGCGGAACGGACGGGGGAGGG